GGAAAGGAGCATCCTCCACCAGCCTGCAATTACATGCCAAAACCCTGAAACGGGATTTTTGTTTCCTTTTAGAYGAGAGCTGAGGCTGAAAACTTCAATTTTCAATATCACAGGTACTGAGCCATTCTGGAGGAGGGGAAAAAAAACCCCTTTTCTTTTAAATAGGCAACTTCTTTTTAAATATGGATGCACGAATCTAACTTTAGCTGTCCAGGTTTTCACATTCCTGCTCTCAAATACAGAAAGTAGAGCATTAATTTAGTCTGTTGACTTCAAGGTTATCATTCATTGAGGTCAATGACTCCACCTCTGAAAAGCAGAATTTCCACTTTCAGTTGGAGAAGCGCTGCCCTCCCTCAGTGCTTTCTCACAAAAACTCCCAGGYAAACCAGCACCAACCCCTCCTGCAATGGGATTTATCCATGGAAAACCAGGGGTTAACCCTGGGAACATCCAAGTCCTCATTAGCTGCTTGTGTTTCAAACTTCCCCTCCTAATTAGCAGCTCTGTCTCRGACATGATTTTTGTGGTATCTTCTGTTTATGGCAACCTTGTGTTGATGTGCTCAGGCAGGACCTGAATATCCACCAAAAATTCCCCACGAGGATCCAGACGGACAGARTCCAGCTGGGATCAGTCCCTCACCACCAGGAACATCAGCAGGAGCCACAMAGTGCTCCAGTAGGGAATCAGCACACAGAGCAGAAAACCAGACCTCGTTTCCAGCAACTTTAAACTCACAAGAGACACTCCAGGTGTGTAACATCTCAGTGGAACCAGGAGGAGAATCTTCATTTCCACGAGAAAATCAAGGAAAAGGATAAAATGCTGCTGGCCCTAGAAGTTTCTGCATTTTCCAGGTAAAACTTCCAGTGGCTGTGGCTGAAACAGCTCAGGTAACACAGGTGAACTCCAAACAGAGAGTGGCAGCATGGACACGCTTTGTTCTGACTGCAGAACAACACAGGGCTTTTTCTGCTTTGGTTTCTGTCTCTTTTACTACTGACACAAATAAGAACATCCTTTAAAATAGCTACAGGCTCAATGAAATCAGCAACTAAATCATCAAAATAGGAGWTGGGAGAGGACTGGCCCAATTCTACATTATCGTTGTATTCTTCCATCAAACAAGCAGCTGGACCCTTGCAGACTCTAAACCCCATCCAGGAACTCCCCAGAAGTCTTTCCTCTGGATTTGTTGAATTTTAAGAAGGAATACAGTTGGGGGAAGACAGGTATCTGTGTGAGAACTGCTGATCTCACTACTCTTCCAGTAGCCTTATTGAAAAGTACTGGATTGGCCTTTTTCTTTTCCAAAAATGACCATTTTCTAAAAAGTTAAGAGCAACATGGGCACCTCCAATGTTTTATCAAACTTGAATATATCATTATCACCTTTCCTTGGTTCTCAACATCTCTGATGCATCCAATGAAATTCCATGTTGATGAGAATAATTTGATGTAACATTTTGTTACTCTGTTTTCTCACAAAGGTTACAAAAAGAAGCTTTGAGCTCTTCAAAGGCTTAAGAATCAGACAACTCAGTATTTTTAGATCCTTAYTCCTTAGGCTTCAGCTAAATAGGAAAGTCAAAACCAGAATGCTGTTAAAACCAAAAGATTTTTATGAGAAATCTCCATAAAAAGGATGGGAAAAGGAACAACCAAGCACTGAGTTATACAGGAGCAGGACAAGATGCAACACTAACTCTGGAAACACCAATTTCGAAACACAGGGTGAATCCTGTCTGTAGGAACCCAGCACAATCCAAATTTGATGCTACCACACCATAAAAAGCGATGACTGACCATCAGCCCAACTACACCCCGAACTGTTGGGTTCCTTCCTTTTCCATAACATCCCGAAGTGACTTGCAAAGGACAAAGAAGTGAAAAACTTCCCATTGTGAAAACACTTTTAAATCACAAACCGCGTTCTGCGGCATTACCTCTGTTACCACAACATGACTGAAATACAAACTTGGCTTTTTCTTTAAGGAGCCGAACCMCAGCTTTGCTTATTACAGGGAAAAGCAGAATAGATCCTAAAAATCTACAGTAAAATGGAAACGTGAAATCATCAAATCGCTAAGGCTGGAAAAGACCTCTAAGACCATCAAAGTCCAACCACTACCCCAACTCTGCCCAGTTCATCACTAAACCAGGAACCCAAGTGCCACATCCACAGTTTCTGAACACTTCCCAGGGTGGTGATTCCAGCACTTCCCTGGGCAGCCCCTGCCAAGGCCTGGGCACCCTTTCCATGGGGAAATTCCTCCTGGTGTCCACCCTGAGCCTCCCCTGGCCCAGCCTGAGGCCGTTCCCTCTCCTCCTGTCCCTGTTCCCTGGGAGCAGAGCCCGACCCCCCCGGCTGCCCCCTCCTGTCAGGGAGTTGTGCAGAGCCACAAGGTCCCCCCGGAGCCTCCTTTGCTCCAGGCTCAGCCCCTTTCCCAGCTCCCTCAGCCGCTCCTGGGGCTCCAGCCCCTTCCCAGCTCCGCTCCCTGCCCTGGACACGCTCCAGCCCCTCCAGGGCTCTCCTGCAGGACCCACAACTGGACCCAGCCCTGGAGGGGCCTCTCGCTGCCCAGCCCAGAGGGACAATCCCTGCCCTGCTCCTGCTGGACACACAATTCCTGATCCAGCCCAGGCCCCRGTGGCCTCTTGCCCCCCTGGGCACCCCTGGGCTCGTGTCCAGCCCCTGTCCCAGCCCCCCAGGCCCTTTCCCAGCTTTCCAGCCCCTCTGCCCAGCCTGGAGCTCCATGGGGTTGGTGTGACCCCAGGGCAAGACCTGGCCCTTGGTACAGTTGGCCTCAGCCCAGGGATCCAGCCTGGCCAGGTCCGTCTGCAGAGCATTCCCACTGTCCACACTCCTGCCCAAATGTGAGCTGCCTTCAAACTGACTGAGAGTGCAATTGATTCCCTGCTCCAGATCACTGATAAAATCATCGAAAATCTCTCAGTTCTCCAAATGGCATCTTAAAGTGCCCTTTTGCTGGCTGCCCTATACATTACACAGGGCAAAAAGAGAAGTTAAATGTGCTGCCAGTTTGTTTTCCTGGTGSGTCAAATTGGAAAGTAACATTTAATATTCCCATTTCTTCAAATTTTCACTTTTTTTTTTCTTAAAGCAGTGGGCTTTATATAATTCTGGGTTTTCGGCTGAAGTGGTTATCTAAAATTAAAGTATTTCATGGTAGAAAAAGTGAAAAATGTCGTGTTCCTTAAGGGGATTGTTTCCCCAGTGATGCTGTGGTTAATTGTAGGGGTTTAGAGGTCAGCTTCCAGGACAATGAAGTGATGCCCATTACAACAAAGAATTTATTGACCCTACAGAAGCTTTCTCCCTTTAACCAAARGTAGTTTAGACATTACCAGGCACATCTGATCAATTACCCTCAAGAAACCATCTTGAAAATGCAAGAGAACCACCTTCAACAACCACAAAACCTTTCMATTTCAGGTCTGAGCTCTCCCAGCTACTCTGAACTTGAGGCTGAGATCAGYAGAGTCACCAAATGACTCTTGCTTTTTACTGAACCACAAAATAACCACAGGCCAGGTTCTCATTTTAAGGCCTGCAAATCTCGTTCATTCTCAGAACCTCAGCACACCAAGACTGGCTCTCCTAATAAACAGAAAACTGCAAATAAATCTGACCTGTCTAAATTCCAACATATCAAAAGCATAAAGGTCTTTGTCCTGGTTTTCAATCCATATTTATCAAGGGACTTGTAAAAGAAGACAGAATAACCACTTTAATTTCAAAATCTTGTCTGCATTTCTATTCTGCAAGCTCATAATTCTACAAGCTTGACATCACCAGGAATTCTGACCAAAACTGAAAGTGCTCAAGTTGAAAGTTTTAAATCAGATGAATGTATTGCAACACAAAACTGAATTCTCTCAAACACTGTCATACATAAGGTACTATTTCATAACATTATCTCTCCTTTCAGTTGTGGGATGAATATTTTTAAAGCTTTCAAAACATTTTCTCAATATTTAAGTTCTATTTTAATCTGTCACTGCCTACTAGACAGAGATCCCCAAATCTGATGGGACATCAATTTTGAGACTTTTAATGCTGTTCCTCTAGATTTAGGTATTTAAAACCAATGAAATATCCCTTTGGAGTAGTTTTTCCTCTCCTCTTCTTTGCCCAACCTAATTTTAGAATTCTTTAGACCCACTTTGACTTGAGCTTTCAGCACGCAAACCTCGGAGTGGAATGAAGGATGTTTGGTTTTCACAGAGTGAAATCTACTTGCAGCATCTTGGTCCTAATCCAAAGGCTCCATGTAAATATACCCTCCAAAGCTGTTTATGCATGAACAGCTGATGCAACTGAAAACTGTCAATCACCAGATGAGCTGGATGCACACGTAAATCTACCCAGCTTTTTTTTTTTTTCCCCAGCCCCAAGGATTCCTGGGCTTTAAAGCTGAACAAGCAAACCAAAGATCTGGTTTGCATCTACTACACTTTTACAACTGCTTTTAGACTTTTACAACAAAGAAGGGAATTTGGGGTTAGAACATACAGCAATCCTCTTGGACAAACTAGATTGTATTCTGTTTCTACTGCTCATGATTTTCTATGTCAAAATATGAACCGTATTTCCAGCACAACTAAAARTCAGCCATTGAATCTGCAAATACACTTGGCACTTCCAGGATTTTTGATTAGCCAAAAAATGGAAGAACCTCCTAAAATATCAAACAGTTCATTTAACTGGCACCTTCAAAAGCATTCCCATAGAAACTTGGAAAACAATATTTCCACTCAGGAAAACCATTTTCTCCCGAGAAGAAGAAGACTTTTCCAAGCTGAGAAGAGTTTACAAAGAGCAAAGAAAGATTTCAAAATTCTGCAGGTTCTTAAATATTCTACCAAGTCAGAACAACATCATTTTGGGGGGAGACAGAGAATGGGACAGCAACAAAAAGTACATCAAGAACATCCATAATTTTTCATTGTAAAAATCCTAAATATAAAATCACCTGTATGCATCGTCTTCTTTCAAGTCTCATATCATCCTGCGGGGTTGTGGGGACAGGGGGAGTCCAGCAGCAAACAACACTGAAAAAGGCAAAAAAAAAAAAAGAATAAATTTTTTAAACTGGAGTCACAGCTGCTCAATTGAACCCCAAGACAAACTAAGGAAACCCAAACAGAAAATGTTTTCCAACAGTAAAAACAAAGACAGAAGTGACAGAGACTTATCTTTCACTGATACCTAATTTTAGAAAAACTTTCTGTGTCCAAATTTCAAGGATTKACTTAAATTTCAATTGGTCATTGAACAGTTCTGAAAATTACGGTCACCCAAAAAAAATTGACAGTTGCCCATCTTGGCCAAGCCCTTAAATATGTGAATTTTTACAGAAATTCAGGACAATATTTCTAAAACACAAGTGAACTTGTGGGATTTTCCCACATCAACACGCAATAAACTTGAATGTATATAAATTCATAAATATTAATTTCTCCTCATAGCCTGATGAAATTGAATTAGGTTCACCTTACTGCAAATAATTAAAAAATGCTCTGAAAAATAAAATTATACTTTCCATAAGGCAATGAGATATAAAGGCATGAGTTTCTAGAAGAAAACCCCAACAGAAGTTAAGAGGGAGGGAAAGATAATGAAAAAAAAAGATTAAAACCCAAAACACAACACCCAGCAACTAACACTTGTCAAAGTATTTCTCAAGCATTTGTTTTTCACTTGTTCTCCAACAAACACTGATATTCTACAACCCAAGGAAATATCAAAATCACTTAGAATTACTGAGAATTTTAGAGAACTCTGCAAATTACTGACCAGCTGGAATTGGAGAGTCATTACTATTTAAACACCTCCTGAAATATGTAACTTCAGGAAAGTGTCAGCAGCCTAAAATGCACTCAGACCCTGCAATTTGAGCAGCAACTGGCGCCGTTCGCTCCATTTCCCTGCAACAATGAGAGTTCAAACCCCGCACAGCCCACCCTGGGCCCAGCCTGTCTTCCTGCCACCACACTGAGGGTGTCCCTGTGCCATTCAAAGGGACCCACACCAAAGGGAAGGGGGCAGGAAGATAAGGAGTGACTTTTGGGACCCATGTAGGAGCAGTGGTTGTGTCGGTGTTTTAGAATTCTTTTTTTCTCCAAAAAAAGGGGAAATCCCTCAAAGGGGGCATCCCAAATCTTGCTTTTACTGCTGCAGTTCAACAGAGTCCTGGAATGTCACTGCCACATCCACAGCTGCCAGGAACTTGGAAAGAAAGGATGGTGACCCCTGTGAAGATCTTACAAAGATCCTACCAAGAGGGTACTCTTGTGCCTAAATCGCTTCAGTTTGGGTGAAAGGCCTGGTCTGGTTCGGGTGCTGAGTGAACACGTCCCAAACTGAGCTGAGTCCCAGTGACCCCAACAGAGCCAGAGCCTAGCATTCAAAAAGACAAAACAAAGAGCAAACTCTTATTTAAACAAGCAAACMACAGAATCCAGAATGGTCTGGGTTGGAAGGGATCTCAAAATGATCCCATTCCACCCCSTTGCCATGGCAGGGACATCTCCCACTGTCCCAGGCTGCTCCCAGCCCCRATGTCCAGCCTGGCCTTGGGCACTCAAAGGGATCCAGGGGCAGCCACAGCTTCTCTGGGCACCCTGTGCCAGGGCCTGCCCACCCTCCCAGGGAACAATTCCTGCCCAATATCCCATCTGGCCCTGCCCTCTGGCACTGGGAAGCCATTCCCTGGCTCCTGTCCCTGCAGCCCTTGCAAATTGTCTCTCTCCATGGTTCCTGTGGGCTCCTTCAGGCCCTGCAAGGCCACAMTGAGCTCAGCCCAAAGCTTCTCCTGTCCAGGCTGAACAATCCCAGCTCTCCCAGCCTTTCCTCCCAGCACAGCTGCTCCATCCCTCTGACCATCCTGCTGCCTCCTCTGGGCTCTCTCCAGCAGCTCCACTCCTGGAGCACCAGGTTTGTCCATCCCACACCGGTGTCCTACAGAGCCTCAGCCCTATCTCTGAAAGCTTTCTCTGGCCAATGACACTGCTTTTATTCCTTTTAACTGCAGCATCTCTGGACACCTGGACTATAGGAAGCCTTTTCCAGCAGCAGCCCAAGCACTGAAGCCATCACTCTGAATCTTTACCATCCTGTAACTCAACCACAGCTCAGTAACCTCCCAGTCCCACCAGTGCAGGGCCAGTTTTAATCCTAAACCAGCTTAGTTCAAACTGTCAACGGAGTTTGAGCAATTTCCAGCCAAAACATCGTGGAGTGTTCAAACACTGTCTCCTCCCTATTCCACCATGGGAACGGTCAGCTCCCAAAGCAGCTGGAGAGGGAACCACAGAGCCCTGAGTTAGTTTAGGATTCGGAAGATACTTGAAGGGCTACCWACACTAAGGAAGAGCTGCTGCTGTGAGACAAAGTTATTAACAGGGAACCAACACATCTGTGCATTTCAGAGCTAAGCAGGAACACAGATCCACCCCAAACCAGTGTATTCTTTTCCCTCAGCCTCCTTCCAGCTCTCCAGCAATCAGCCCATCCTGGAGAACTCATGTGGAATTCAGAGGTGGAGAGGAAAAGCAAAACCTTAGCAGAGCCCAAAGCTGCTGAGTCCCCATGACAGTAGCAGTGTTACATAAAAGGGTAACAACTTTGGAGGTTTTTTTAAAATAGATACAACCAAACTGCATTTCACTGCTGCAGGGACAGCACCTTAAACTCAGTCACTGCGTCTGCATTGCCAAGTTCTTAAACCAAAAGGCCTTTCAGACAGCCTTTACAAAGGCTTCCCAGTTTAGATAATAAATTGATGATAAGAGGAGGCAAGAGCAAATCCTACTCATCACACAGTCTGTAAGATCATTACTAGAAGAATCCCCTCAGTAATAACATTTACTGGGCTTCAAGAAACCAGTTTGATCTACTTACCAGTATAGAACAGAAGTGAATTGGAAATAAAGGAGGAGAGGAAGGAAGAGATGACAGGAAAGGTGTTAAAAAGCAAATTATTGAAAGTGGTAGAGCAAACAGAAGAATAAAAGCTGAAGTCTTTTATTTAAACAAAGAGAGCAGTTCTTAGAAATCAACTCTGCCAAAACTTTACCTCGTGCTTTTGTTTCCTGTTTTAATCACTGCTGCTTTCTGCTCTTCATCTTCCCTACCCACACGAGGCTCCTCTGATCTCCTAAAACATAGGGAATGGGATCCCCTATCCAGAGCCACTCCCTGCTCAGGAGCAATTCCAAGKGTGGAGTTACACGAGGTTTAGTCAGATACACCAAGGATGCTGAGCACGTTTTATTCCCAGTTATATCCACAATGTTATAAAGATGGTGCCTCTGAATAACAAAACTTTGCTGTGTCTCTGATTTTTCCTCACACCCCAAGACTGGTTTCCCTGCTGGACTCTTGGAGAATTCAAGCTTCATTCCCTTTATTCCCTGTATTCCTTAGGAGCATCCATCCCCTCCTGCAAAACACTCAATACTCAACACACGTCAATAGGTTCACTGCAGATCAAAGTTGGGTTCTGAGCAATCAGACTTCTAAATCCCTAAAAGTTAAAGTGCAAAAACCATTATTAACATGAAAATTTAATTAAAAGAGAAGTCTGCTGGGGAGGGGTTTACTTTTTATATTTTGCTAATTAAAACACTTCACAGAGAGATTTATTTTCCTTATTCAGGATCACGGTATTACAAGATTCAATATGGAACCTTTTTGCATAGTGAGGTTCAAGTTTTTCCTCTGTGAAACAATTATTTTGTAATTTTTGAAGTCATGAAAATACAGAGAAACCCCTTCATTTCTCATGGTTACACACACTGCTGGCAGAGCTGAACATAATTCAGGTCACTGACCTTCGGTGAACACAGGCAGGCCTGTTGCTAGCAACATAAAATATAAATACTTACTTAGAAACCAAATTTTTTTTATTTATTTACTAGGAAAATTATCCTGAGCTATCCACAATGCAATTTGGGTTATTAACATACTGGAATAGAAAGAATGGATTTAGATATTTGAACTATGCAGCGACAACCAGTGAGGAGGTTTGACATAAGAAATTGGGCAAAAGATTCTTCAAACACACCAGATTTGGTGTTTTATTTCAAATACTGCACAGTGAAATGCAAAGTACAATCAATACAATTGGAATTAAATTCATAAATCTTACAGTGTGCTCAATGATTGACAGCTTCCCAGAGGGACAAAGCTGAGGAATTCCAGAATCATTGTTTTCCCAGCACCCAGCACATGCAGTGTGCTTTGTTACCAGGGAAATCTCATGTGTTTAATGTCCAAACTAACAGAGATCTGAAAGCTAAACACACACAAATTCACTGCTGCTGTTCTACTTGTGACCAACATATGTGCTGATCTATCTAAGGAATAATTCACGAGAATGAAAAGGGAAAGATAAAAAAAGGACTGCTTGGTACTGAGTTCTGCTTTGTACAACAACTCAGCTTCACCTGCAAAATCACAGCAGAAAATTAAGAGCACATTATGGTTTCAGTGTGAAAAGCCAATATATCCCTTCCCCCTTCTGGGCACCTGCAGGTTCCTGTATACCTAACAGACTGAGCAGTGAACAAAATACAAAGATTTGTGATCAGCCTCACGTCTGTCCTGTTCCTAAAGAATCAGATCCCCTTCTCCAGGTTTCAGTTCTGTGCAATTGTGGAGCAGTCAGTAACTGCAGGTTCTCACTGAAACAGCAACTGCATTAGGGCTACAGAATAAGGAAATTGTGAAATCACAGAATGGTTGGGATGRAAGGGACCTTAAAGATCACCCATAGGCAGGGACACCTTCCACCATCCCAGGCTGCTCCAAGCTCCATCCAACCSGGCCCTGGACAGTTCCAGGGATCTGGAGCAGCCACAGCTGCTCTGGGCAAAGGTTTAAAACTCACCATCTTTTCAAATTCATAACTGAGTGAAAATAAAATACCTCTTTTCAGGATACTTTGTGTGTGTAACAGAACCATGAGCACAGTCACCTTCTGATGTCAGTTTACCCTTGAGTATGGGGTGCAGGTTTCTCCTCAAACATGGAAAGAGAGTGTTAAAAA